TCATAAGGTGTGGCCATGGGTGGCGCAGGGAAGATGACCCAGCACTCAACACCATCCTCTGTATATTTTCAATCCCCAGATTGCGGAATTTGATAAACCAGCCTCTCTACTCGCAAATCCGAACTCCAAATTTTTCAAGATGATGGAAGCAGCAGAGTCACAAAAGCATTCTCTTTCTGCAGATTAGTAAAACTGTTAATAGTTAAACCTAAAGATGATACCACTGATAACTAGTTAGAACCACTGTATTACTCTTCAAAGGTTTAATAACTAGTTACAGTGCTAGTAGTCGTAAGCCTTTTAAATAAGATTCAAACTACAAATGTACATATTTTAATGAAGTTATCTACAGAAATGTTTGAATACATGTATTAAAAACCATACTGTCGACTGTCTTGGTCAGTGATTGTTATAGGTATAATTACATTTTATTTGAAGAAAGTACTTTTAAAGTAAGTCATGGTATATTTCAATTGTATTCAGAAATTGAAAAGGATAATCAGTAAAACTCGGTCACAAAGATGTCAAGATAATTATTTTTCTGTACAATTTCTGTGCATACAGATGTGAACATTTTCTGTAACTCTGCTGATGTGATTCGATTTGACTTAAGGCATCATTACATTACTTGTGCTGGACCTGTTAAGGCATACTCAGGGTTTTCAAGACAATGGGCATTACATAAAGTGGACTTGTTTTCCCAATGTACGGCAAAGCTATATGTACTTCTACAACACGAAAATAGTTCCTTACCTGTATAAATGGAAGTTCCAATACGTGGTCAGGGTGTATTTCTGAACTTAGATTATGTTGCAAGAATGTTTGGGGTCAGGGATTAGTCTAACATTCATTCTGGTAGTGCATAACAAACGACGAACGTCTGGTATGCACATTCCTACGTGTAATTAATACCACTGGACTCTTCTCAGGAATATTTGTAATATTAAAGAGATCATTTTGTATTCCAGTGGAAACAAATTGAATTATATATCCAAACGTTGATTAAATAATGTTCCGATTTTTTATATATTGGTGTATGGATAATGATGTTTGATAGTACTGTATTGGTTAAAAATATTTTATGTAATTTCCGGAAAGGTCACTCTAATAAAACATTCATGAAGTCTTGAAAGTAACAATATTGATCATTTTCACTTTTTTTATTTTCCCAGTTTTTGTGCCGTTGCTGCAGTTATTCCAGCAACAAGGATTTTTGTCTTAGTGACTGCCCCGTAAAACATTACGGCTGGTCGGACGATGATCTTGTCCGTGTGCGTAGATGAAAATCGCGACTTTGTACCAGACCCACTTCAGAATTCTGCAACATTAAACATTCTGCTCTGTCCTGTGTGACCCACCGTATGTTTCATGTCAATAAAGCTTCAGTAATTAAATAATTAAATCTCAGTTTCCTGCTGGTATGACAAAACTCTGCCAGAGATCTAGATAGTCTTTATTGAAAGGGATTTCAAGTCCGAAATTTCACTGGGGAAAACTGCTTCCACGAGGTGAGATTGGCAATAACGCCATTTGTAGGAGGCCGCCTGTGACCAAAAAACGTGCGCATGCTCGAGCTAAGGGCGTCCACCGGCCCCGGCACTAGCCACATTTGGACGAAGAAAAGTCAACTCACCGAAGGTGGCGCTAATGGGGGGGGGCTTAGCTCCACCTGCAGATTTCGGAAATTACCGCTCCATTTACGAAGGATAATGAAGTCCACACATGGATGGTGTCTGGGAATGCCTTACATCGGGTGCTTGAGCATCTTGTATATTTGCAGGAAAATCCAATAAATATTTAAAAATCACAGTAAATGTTTTATTTCATCAATCCTTGTGTTACAGTTGAAAGGTCATCAGTGATATGAAAACAGAACTCTAAATCTTTAACCAAGAGATATAATTGTTCATCGGACTTCCATGTTGTCTTTTTTTGCTGTGCTCACGTTTTCTTTACTCAATTGAACTCTGCCCACCAAGATATGCATTGAAACAGTTGTCAATTGAACATCCTCTAGTCTAATTCCTTACTTCAATGTGATTGAAACAACCCACAATTTTTCTCAAAGAGGATTTTGCAATTACTTGTTACTGCCGATTATGGGCGGAATTTAGGTGTTCATCAAATTAATGCCCTTTCTGTTTCCAAAGCTAGTAGGAAAAATGAGCTGGCAAGGCCTTTACCCTTGCCTGTAACCAGGCGCTGTTCCAGAACCAATTTTTTGGGGGGCCTAGACCCTTCCACCGTAGCATTACCTTTTAATTTCCGCTCCTGCTTTTTCACATTTGCATTTAGGAGAGGGGCCAAAAGCCCCCGAGCCCCCCCCCCAAAAAAAAACAGAGCAAAAAGACTAAGGGCCTAAAATTTTCCTTGTTGCAAGCAGGATGTATTAAAAGTGTTCTTATTGTTCAAAGTAAGTCAGTCTTAAGTGACCCATAGGGATGTCATAGAGGAATCCATCTTCGAGGGTATGCATGGTAGCAGTCAGATGGGCTAATGCAAGTGTGGAAAAGAAACAGCTTTCAACACCACATACGAAGTACATCGCTGCATATTTTAACTTAAAAAAGATGCAAATTACTTGGGCAAATTGTACTTAAACCTCATTATGCTCTGATGAATAATTCTACATCACAGCTGGACGTCTTTTCACGTTTTGGGCCTAAGGTAAAGTTCTTTCACAGTGAACTAATCCCTGAAATCAGGAAACAGTCTGGGACCTTCAATTCAAGAGTGTACAAATGAATTCAGTAGTTTAAAAATGACACACTTCTAGAGGGTTTGCATGGTAGCCATCTCGTAGGGCAGTTCTTTTGTTCCGCACGGAAACCTCCTTTGTAGTTCCTGTTTTGAACAAAAGCATTGTCTTGTAAGATGGCAGCCATGCAGACCCTCTTTGAGGCCCACGTCTAATCATAGCCACCAAAGACGGGATGATTTCATATCCTCTGGACTGCCATCATGGCCCCATTTGCCCTCGCTGTGCAATGCTGCGACCTGCATGTCCTTGCTGGAGGAGACAAGCTGGTGGAATGGGTTACTCTCCTTTGGTGCCACGGGGGTTGCATCCCTGTACTTATCACTGGATCTGCCGTGATACCTGTCTCTGTGAGTGTCCCTGTGCCTGTCTCGGCCATGATAGTGTCGTCTGTCAGCAGATCCCGGCTCACAGATTCTTCGAGAATCACTGTGGCGTTGATCAAGGGACCTTTGGTGATCCCCATAGTGTCTATCACTATGTCTCTCATGCTGTCTGTCATGGTGTCTGCTGTGGTGTCTACTTTCATGTCTGTCATCCAGATTCCTCTCATCACGAGCAGATCTATGTTTCTCATGGTATCTATCACCTTTTCCATGCTGATAGTCAACAACCTGAACCCTATCACCACTTCTAGTTGCATAAATATCGTTGCTTTCAACTACATCTAGTCTTGTCTCACACATACTGCCCTCAGACCTCTTGCCTCTAACCCTCTCATTTTGTGATCTTCCATCTCTGCTGTGATGACCTCTGTGTCTTGATGTATCATCAGTTTCTTGCTGGCTGATCTCATATGGATCTCTTCCTACTTCAAGCAGTTTGCCTCCCGTGTGGTCTAGGTCATGTGTCCTATACACGAATCTTTCATGAGCACTTGCTCTTGGCATGTCCGAAACAATCACTTCTCTCTCCCGATAACCTTTGGAATTGTTATCGTAGCTTGAGCTAGTGTCTTTTCCATGTTTGTAGTCAATAGAGACAGGAATAGGTTTACTACCAACATGTGCGAGACTGCTTCCTCTTGCATGCCCAGAATCCAAACCTCCATCTTTGTCTGGTACTCTTACATCCCATCTCCCTCTTTTGCTTCTACACTGGGGCTCATCCAAGGGAGGATCACTTCTCTCTGATATTTCCTGATGGTATTCACTCTGTACAAATGTATCACTGGGCCGCTCTGTCATAATCACGCCTATTTGATGACCTTGTACAGACCTTGACTGATTTGTGATCTCTGATGACCCTTGACCCTGATCCTCTTGATCTTTCTTATAGTACTGTGATTTATCTGTATCAACAGGCATCACTGAGGTTCCTACATGCGAGACTGTCTGATGAGTCTGGGCCAAGTGTTTTGAAATGGATTTAATGACAGAAAGTTGTTCTGGAGTGAACACTTGACCCCGATGAGAAGGTCCTGGCTCATAAGCTGTTTCATGAGGAGTTGTATGATAGGATTTCCCTCTATCCTGGGAAGGTATTAGAACTGATTTTGATCCACGGTTCTTGGCTTCAGAGATGGATGGCTTTGGGATTCCTGGTACAAGCTGCTGCTGTTGGTGGCTTTTATCAGTTCCTCCGGTCTGATCAGGAGTTCTGTCAAACTGTGCAAGTTGCCCTGGACGTTCTTGACTTGGACGCATTGACTGATGGCGACCATCATCAGGAGCCCCTGACTGAAAGATGTTGACATTAGAAACTGCTGACTTAGAAACAGGAGGCAGATGAGATGGTGCACTTAAAGGTACCTTAGTATCACTTTTTTGAGGAACAATTGACTGTAACTTGGAAGTCTTTTGCGATTCCTTAGACTTGGCAACGAAAGAGGGAGTTTTTTCTTTCTTGCCATCATCTGGAGGGTTTTTTCCTCTTCTCTGCCCAGCCTTCATCTTCTTGTCACTCACAATTTCATCCTCATCACCTGATCTCCATCTCTTCCTGTGCTTCAGTGGTGAAACATCCGCCTTCTTAAGCTGATAGCTTTTGCTGTCCATGTACATCTCTAGATGGTCCCTGGAGATCTCATAGATACCAGTATCTACATCACTTTCACTGTCGTCCTCTTCATCTTTTGACTGTCTTGATTTGACCTCTTTCAATTTGGACGTCTTTGATTTCTCTTGGGCCTCTAATGAAGCTCTTCTGTTTTTCTTGGTTCGACTCTTTTTGTCAGAGTCCTTCTGATGACTGCAACTTTCATCTGAGTCACTATACGACCCTGAACTGCTGTAGCTACTGTAACTGTATGAGCGGCTTCCAGACACACTGTAACTAGAGTAGCTCGTCCCTGATGAATAGGTTTCATCTGATGAGGCACTCCTGGAGCTGCTTTGACGATAATGGCGATCTTTACAGCTTGAGCTTTTTCTATCTTTTCCTTTTCTATCTTGTGGCTTACCACCTTGAGAACCTGGCTGGCCCTTCTTAGATCTATCAATGCTTTGGGCCTTCTGAGAGGTGGAACTGAATGAGGAGCGTTGAGAAGCAGTTTCCTTAAGATGTTTCTTGTGTTCATCTTCACTATTGTCACTGATACTCTCTGAGTCTGAGTAGCTATATCTTCTTCTCCTGCTTTCTTCTACACTTCTTCTCTCCCTGGTTTCAGTGAAGCGTCTTCTAGACTGTAGCTCACATTTACTGTCTTTCAGTTTGACCTTAGCAGCTTCCTCTCTCTCTCGTAATCCTCTGCCCTTTTCAGGTGTCCTCAAAGCTTCGTCAACTGACAGCTTCTGTGCATCTTGATTTCTTTTCAGAGGACCTTTTGCTATTGGCATCTCTGTCTTTTTGCTGTGTTTACTCTTGTACCTCTCATCTGAGGGATAAGTATCCCTTCTGTCTGCTCCAGAAGATAGCTGTTTTGAATCTGTCTTGAAGGTCTTGGATTTCGAAGTGGTATTTTCCTTCATCCTTTCTTGAACATCCGAGACTGCTTCAAACTTTTCAGCCAAAAGCGCAGTGCCACCAATTTTCGTAGATTCTATTTTAGTGATTCTAGATTTTTGAGATCCTGCAGACAGAGTTCTGCGTCTGGTACCAGCAGATAGGGAACGGGAGCGACTTCTCTCGGTTGTTTTAGATTTCCCTGTAGAACTTCTTTTGCCTGTTTTGTCTTTTCTGCTCCTACTCCTACTTTGGTCAAGACTTCTTGAGTTTGACCTTCTTGGAGATTCAGATGTGGAAGAACTGTCACTGACTGTATATGGTGACTGAGATCTACTTCTCGAGACAGAGTAGCGACTTGAATGTTGAACAACATCCAACTTTCTCTTGGATGAGGATTTGCCATGTCTTGTGGATGCTTTAATTTTGCGACTTCTTGATCTCGATCTAGATCTATAAGACTGAGAACTAGAGCTACTGCTTCTTGAGTAGGAAGAAGATTGCCTCCGTCTGTGTTTCTTGGCATATTTGGAAGCCTTCCTTGCACTTCTTTGTTGACTTCTTGACATTGAACGCCGCAACAGTGACCTGTCAGAACTGTCACTTCTGGAACAAGAAACAGACTCATGGCTTCTTCTACCCCTAGCTTTCTTCTTTCTCTTTCGTGAAGTTGACCTTTCATACTTCCTGCTATCTCCGGAACTTTTTTTCCTACTTCGATGACGGCTTCTTGACCTTGAACGTGAAGACTGGGAAGACTCAGCACTTGAGTATCTCCCCCTCTTCTTACTTTGACTCCTTCCTGGAGGTGTCCCTTCGTTGTCTCTCTTCCTTGAGGATTTGTCCTTTTCTTGCTTCTTCTTCTTTTTCTTTTTCTTGGTTTTCTCAGAGATTCTCTTGGTTTTTGAGATGTTATCCTTGGGATCCACCAGCTGTCGGAGAGCTTCCACTGACATGACTTCAGGGGAGGTGAGGGAAGGAGATGAGATAGACTCAGGCGAGGCAACTTTGTTTATTGGTGTCTAACAACGCACACAAGTTCAAAAAAAGAAATCACATAACAAAACATCATGGACAAAAATTATGTACATGGATTTTCCATGTGTAAGATAAGTGTTTACATAACAAATTTGAAATCGTTTCAAGATTTCAGTCAGTTTTCAGAAAATATCATCAATGGCCAATGGTAGTTATTACAGGTGAATACAAAACAAAACCCCCCAAAAAATGCAGGGAAAAATGCAATTTCAAAGTGAAATACATAGGTCAATTATGTAAAAAAAAATCACAAGAGTAAAAAGAAATCAAAAGGATACAGAGATCATTCCACAAGAGTGTTGACGACAAGGGAATTCAGTGCCATGACCAACAGGTCAATGGTTGCACAATCAAAGTCAGAAGCCAAAAGATTTGATGGCATCAGTGATTTGGGAGGGTGAACGTTGCAGTCCAATGTCCAATGGTAGTTTCCATGAATGTTGCCATGTGAAAAGACAAGAAAGCCAAAGAACCACAGTGTAGCAAGAAAATGCCAAACTTGGAAGGCTTATTAAACACGTGATAATCTTAAAACAAAACATCACTTCAATTCCAGCATTCAATTCTTGTGATTCTAATAAAACAAGTTTGATTTTTTTACTGGTGAGCAAATGAAGTGCCTCACTGGCGCTTGAGAGATGTTTGACAAATACAGTGTGGTACCATGCCACTCTATAATGTGAGCGCCCAGATCACGCCACTCTATAATGTGAGTGCCGGGATCACGCCACTCTATAATGTGAGTGCCGGGATCACGCCACTCTATAATGTGAGTACCGGGATCACGCCACTCTATAATGTGAGTGCCGGGATCACGCCACTCTATAATGTGAGTGCCGGGATCACACCACTCTATAATGTGAGTGCCGGGATCACGCCACTCTATAATGTGAGCGCCCGGATCACGCCACTCTATAATGTGAGTGCCGGGATCACGCCACTCTATAATGTGAGCGCCCGGATCACGCCACTCTATAATGTGAGTGCCGGGATCACGCCACTCTATAATGTGAGTGCCGGGATCATGCCACTCTATAATGTGAGCGCCCGGATCACGCCACTCTATAATGTGAGCGCAGGGAATTGGTCAAGTGGGGGATATGGCACAACAAAATATAATACAAGCAAAAACCAGTTTATGGGCATGTGCCTTTGACAGAGCTAGGCTGAAAGTTGCTTAACAAATAGGCTAAGCAGTCTGCTTAGTTGTCCCATGAAGGATCATTTCGACCAAACCTCTCTGTTTAGAAGTGGATTCTCACCCGTGTTCTGTTGATCTTTTCTAGGCACAGCTGAGCTTCCAAGAAGTCTGGCTTGATGTCGGTGGCCGTCTGGTAGCAGTCTACAGCCTTCTCAATTTCTCCAGCTTCCTCATGTCTAAATAGGGTAAATAATCCAAGACAATTCGTAAACCAACTACCTACGCTTTCCTTACTCCAACGAAATCCTCCAAACCTCCAAGTATATTTTCAAGGACTTCAGAAAACTAGTATAACCAATTTGGGAGATGCGGAAGGCGTATAAATAAGACAGTCTTAGAGCCAAAGTTCAATGCGTCAAAGTTCTGGGTAACTTACTGCTTTCCCCTTTCGATGAGGGTCTCACACATGTACTTGTTGGCATTACGGTGATTAGGGTTGATCTTAAGTGCCTTTCCAAAGTCTTGGAGAGCCTTGGAGAGAAGGTCCTTGTTTGCATATCTGTAATCATAGCAAAGAGTACATAGTAAGAATGTCATACATTTACTGAACTTGGTGTATTATCAGAGAGGTTTATGGGACTACATGAGTATTAGGAGTACAGATGAGGAGTTGTTAAGAGATGAACATTTCAATTACTGCGGTCAACTTGATACCTTTTGGTTGTACATGCACAAGGAGATTACCATGCATTGCCAGGATAACCACTTGCCATAACCTCTGGACTTCCATGATCAATGATTGAAACACATTGGGTTTGTACCTCAAATATACAGTAGTCAGATTTTGCCCTTTGTGTCCGCAAGCAAGATACTTTACCCCAATGTGTTTCACTACATCCTGAGGAAACAAGAATGATTGACATGGATTTTGATAAGCTCGCTGGGTACCATCGCTGTGGTGTCACACCTGACACTTCTCAAGAATCATTTACGGGCACCATGAACAGGGGTGGTAATTGATGTTAAGATGGTGACTCACAGAGCTCCTCTGGCCACCAAGGCTTCCACGTTCTCCTCATCGATCTCCAGGGCTTTGTTGAGATGCTGCATGGCGTCAAGTAACTGCCCGGCCTTGAAATATGCCACCCCTTTGGCAACACTACAAGACAAGTTTATACATTTCAGAAGAGAAGAAGTATAAAAATGAAAAAGAAAAACTAACACACAATTTTAAGGATTCAAAAGACAAAGTTCTGGGTTTATTTATTTAGTTTTGTATTTAACAACAATTCTTGGACAAACCTTTCCATGGACCAGCGATTTGTTTGCCACTTTCTCAGCGGTTCTGCGTACTCCTTCTCAGGGAAATTACTCCTGTCAGGCAAAAACAATTTACTTCAATTACACTGTACATCTATTAACATTGGGTTTTAGAACACAGAATTTATACTAAAGATTAAATTAAAGATCAACCCCCACTGTTCCTTATTGCCACGCTGAAATATGAAGGAGAGCCATCATTATCAGGAGGTATAAACTGAAATGGATTGGTATCAAGTCTAGAATGTCAATTCTCCACACTCCATATTACCAGTGTAATAGTTCTCAATATGAAAAAGAAACCCTTATGGCAATGAATCACCCAACCTTTGTAAGCCTCTCATGAGCGACAATGGGCAGGCATCGTTCAGTCCAAGTTTGGCACCGAGGTTAGCCACGTTGAATGGGTTGTCAAAGCCCACCGTGTTGTGCAGCATGTCTTCGTATGTCTCCTGCGTGTTCATCTGTAGCACACTGCGACGGTAATGAACTGGAAGCTCTGATTCTGTGATGAGGCCCTGGGAAAAACCATACAACGGAAAGGAAATTGTCTTAAAACAGGCTGAAGAACAAAAGGAAAATAGGAATTAATGCTAACAAAATCATCATCTGAAACAAGGCTTACATTTCTCTTGCAGAAAAGGGTCAAAGCTGGCATGGAGTTGTTGGGGAGTTGAGAGAACAAAGAATGTGCAAAATAGTTTTTCAGAGTGAGAGACTGGGGGAAAATTCCTGAAGATACTAGGCAAACTTCCTGGGAAGTTAAGGTTGATTACTGAGAGAAAAGATTTCATTTTCAGTTTTCTCACCAAGCTACCATTATCTCCGGAGTCATCTTTGGAATGCAAGGAGATGATGACCTTCTGCTCCACAGGGTTGATCTTGATCACTAATGCTCGAAGGAGATCTCCTATCTGGAAATCGTCGACCGAGGCCACATGGGAAAATTTGTCCCTCAGCTCTGCCGCCGGCAGCAAGGCGACAACCTCGCACTCCTCCAGGAAACGGAAGGTGTCTCGGCACAGTGCCAGGAGTTTGGCAAAGATGCCGAACTCCTTGGTGCTGAGGATTTGTCCCACGACAACATCCCCAACTTTGAGGACATCAAAGAGTCTCTCTTGGCAAACGTCCGGGTGGACTTCAAGAAACTGCTCCAGAGGAGGAAGGATTGCATAGTAGTCCGATTTCTCAGCATCTTTAACTGGCGAGGATTCTTTGAGGGGCTGGTCTTCATTACCTTGTTGCTGAAATAGCAAGTCTGCCTTCCTTGCAATGAATCCATGAAGTTTGTCGATGAATTGTTTGCTGCAACCAAAAACCCACAGACAGTATATCAGACACAGGAAATGCACTGAAAGCTTTAACAGCATATTATTATCAATTTTACTCTTGGTTACCATATCTTAACTTTTTAAAATGTTTAATAAAATCATCCTAAGCAATGTCCAAAAAAGTAATAATCCTCAGCCTCAGACATGCCAGAACTTTTGTAGGCCCAATATTGGGAAGTAATGTTTGGCATGGTTTGACGATATAGAAAACACTTAACGTGAAGAATGCTAATGTTAAAAAATGACATTTTCCAAGTAGGCCTAGGCCCTAACATTAGCCCACCAGCAAAGAGAGATTAGAGCCATGAAACTGCCAAGAATTATTTGTAAGTACTAAGTAGCACTGAGTAGGGGGCGTGCCAACAGTAATCTATATTATATAGATATAGAGTATATAGGCATTTTAGCTTCAGTCATGTCAGTTTCTCGAAAAATAAATTTTACCCAGATGTTTCGTCCATGCTCCTTTTCCTTTCGTGCTTAAGTTTCAAGGAGGAAGTTGACAAGCCAGAGGTCTTTACAGAATTTTCAACTTGCGGCACATCTTTCACATCAACATGATCAAGGACGAGAAAACTCGCCCCTTGTTCTTCTTTCACTAAGCGCTCCAACTTCACACCATGCAATTTCACTGCCTTCTCAAACAAAGAGCGATCCATGACAGTTTTGGACTCCCTGAAACCCTCCATTTTCTCTATTTCTATGCTCTGTGATTTTCTCCAGCAATGCTTCGTCATCTGTTCCAAAAACGCGAAGACGTGGTCATGGAAAGCGCCATGTTTTAACTTTTCTGTTGAAGTTCAAAGTAGGCACCTGAAACACATCGATCAAAAGGTGAGGTAATCATCGTCTACCTATTAAATAATTTTTAATATCTTTGTAATGCATGGATTATATGAGAGTTCATTTTTTTATGAACAAGAGATGGCGCTGTTCATCAATATGTATCTTCCACATCATCAATGAGCGGCTGATATGACTCGGTGCAAACGCGTATCTGCTGTTGTGACTAATTAAATATCTCTGAATGGATACATAGTCGCCACTAATGAAAACTTTTATTTGAGGAGCGTGGATACAAGTCATGGTAAGCAGCTTCGGAGGCAAATAATGGTGTGGGCATCGGCATGATCAGAGGCATGATAATATAAAATGTAGCTAGCCGTGCGTCGTCTGTGTGCGGTACGCCTGCCACTACTACGACTACGAGTAGATTTTAATGCAGGGCCTACATGTACTTCCAATATTTCCATCATCATGTCCATATTGGGTTAAAATATAGCCCAATGTGTAACGATTCTGTTACTTATCATACCTGTTACTACGTGCATGCTACGTGGGAGCGGGGCGGACGTAGGACCCCCAGTTCTGGGGTTAACCTGTTACTAATCATTCATTGTGTAGTTTACACAGTACCCTGACGGTGGTTTATATTAAATATCAGCCATCAGAAAGTGGTAACATGCCATGGATGTTCTGCAAAGTCAGTTCATCAGCCTCAGGGAAATGTGAAAGCATTGGCTTGGAAAACACACAGAATTTTTCAGACCAGTTTTAAGTTAGGCCTATAGGGTTTGTGCACAGGGTGTCAAGTAATGTCCAGATATGGAACTTTCTCCATCATCATTTTGAGGTAGACTGAACCATATCCAGCTGTCCGAAAACTAGCTTACCAAATCAAATATCATGCTTTGTTTAACATGTTTCAAGGTACTAGATTTTCCCCTGAGATCTGTAGGGTTCATCACGCCCATGGTGGGCGTAAACGTAGTTCGAGGAACAGACCACGTGCTTTAAGTTTTTCAGGTAATTTTCCAATCTCTTCTACTAGGATTTCTCCAAGTTTTTGGATGCCAATTTTGATGCCAAGGAGTGGGTGAACGCTGCATTCAGAGCTCAGAAGGATGCCCCCGAACAGAAGGACGTAAGAGGACCATTTGGGATTTGAATGTGTGCATATATATCAACCCTCTCCAGATTTCAGCTTTGCAAGTTGCATTCGAGCTGGGTTTCTGTAAAATTTGTGTCAAAATTCATCTTCCACGTCTGTTGATGAAAATCAATTTCTGAATTCTTAGAAATCTGTCTCATGTAAACTGTTCCTCTTCGAGGTGCTACTAAGATGCCCGAAGTACTGCAATTATCCAGCTGTAAGACACATTTTTGTCACTTTTTTCTCTACAGGCCCATGCAGCAACGCTTGTCATGAAACTGCAGCTATTTATACAGGTATAAACCCTCCTTTGGTTTAACAGCACAAATATGCATGAGTGCCCACAGTCACTCTCTTGCATGTGTTTTCTATATGAACCATAAACATGCACNTTCCTGTGAGGGACAGTTGGTGCAGTGCACAACACCACACAGCCGTGCTTCTTTGAGGTGTTTACCAAGTGACCCAAAGAGTGACTTCCACATAGGAGGGTTAAGTTGAAGAAATCCAATCGCACCACAGTTGGACAAAGCTGCTTCTATACAACAACCTGTATTAACCCACAGGACCACGCGAAAGCAAACATGAGTGGTTTTACCCACATTTCACCTGCAATTGATGTATCGGGGCAAACATAAGGATATACATGTAACTTTTCTGTAAAAACTAATTCTTGTAAGAGTATGATTAGAATTGAAATGGCAAACAGTTTGAACAGACCGCCATCTGAGATATAAAATCAATTTTTTTTCTGAACTCCATTTTGGTTTTATCCCACCCGAAGGAGGTGAATCACTCTCTTGAGGAGACAAGCCAGCAGGCGGTGCAGAACCTCCCTCGGGTCTTGAGGGAGGTTGAAGCCGTCCGTCAGGAGGCAACATTCCTTAAGGATCAGATGCAGCTGGTCAAGGCCGACATCAAGAAGGTTCTTCTTGCCTGTCTTTCTCAAAAAAATAAAAAAAACCGAAGTGTTTTCACAGCACAGCTGTGGGAGAATTGAAGCACATTGTAAATCAGTATTACCTCCACAAGAAACACCTGACACCATTCTACTGGGTCAAGTCGTGCAGCACTGACTGGCAGAGGCACTCAGATGAGAAACCGTATACATGTACCGCGATTAATGTTTGGATTCGTCACTTGCCAAGATGAATACATTCTAGCCCAGGTCATCACAGGCCTTCTGTTATCATCCATGAAGGTCAAGGCCTTTGGATGAGACCCTAAGCAGCAGGTCTTGTGTCCTGAGTCAGTGCTGGTTTGCAGACCCACAAATATTATCATGAGGTTGGTCCTGATTTTCCTGGTCTGCTGGGTGGCACACTGATGTAACACTCTCCGTATTCAGTGTAAGAAAGGCTCTATATGAACAAATAGGAGTGTAGCCGGTTCCACTTGGAACAGCTTGGGAAATTGAAGTCCGAGGCTAACAAATTATTTCTATCACTTCTGTCTTACAGGTCGAGGAAGACACCTCCCAATCCATGAAGATGCTGCTGGACATTGACGCTATCAAGTCTCGCATGAAAGCTGCCTCCGATGCTTTACAGGTATGGGTGGTCGTTCCCAAATGTCGGGCACGCTGTAATCCGTGCCACTTTTTTTTTTTTAATCTCCCTCATCCTTCCAAATTCAACGGGAGACTGTGAAAGATTTTGTAGGCTTGAGGAAGGTATCACTAGGTTCTGGCAGAGTGGCGGATTTTGGAGGAAAATATTGAAGGAGTTCAAGTTCACACTTTTCTGATCAATTACCCAATCTCTAATCGGATCTCTCATCCACGTGACGTGTAATCCAGGAAGCTGATAACTGGACCACACTGATGGCTGATGTGGATGAAGTCTTTCAGAGCAAGAACACCCAAGTGGTAAGTGTCCCACAGAGGTATTGTCATAAATTCTCTTCCCCCAAAAATCCCAGTACTGTTCCTTACCCAAAGCTGACATCCTTAGCCAACACACTGTTACTCATATACTGTGCTGCCCAAGAAGTCTTTTGTATTGGATTTTAAGAAGTGAGACATCACTCTAGATATTCTGTATGTCTGTGCTGAAAGGCCTTATTATTTAAGAAAAATTATCACACATGAAAAAAAAAGGAAAATTGATGTCACTCTGTATAAATACTTTAAACCCAGATTCCATTACCTGATGCATTTTTGTTGGCTCAAATAAATATTTGACAGTTATCTTGTTTTGTCCTTTCTTCTTGCAGATTGCTGATAAACTTATGGCTATGCAGCACAGCTTGGTAAGTTGACTTCTTAGAGATTCTCCACGGAAAAAATGAAGTACTTAGAACTTTGAGGACTTGAAAGACTGACACTGTATGCATTGAGGGCATACAGACATTCATTTTCCCAGTAGAAATTGTCTATGTCATTTCAATTTGTACACATCAGTGTGAAACCATGTTCCAGTTAGAATGTCGCACAGCGCCCTCTACTGTGCCTACTCGTAGCTAATAGAGTGTTTGCACATGAAATGTGCCTGGTTTTTGGCAGAATATGCTGGCACACTGTGGTGACTATGAGGAGCGCTGCCAACATCTCGAGACACTGAAGAACCGTCTGGAAGCCATGTTGAGTCCCCAACTCGTCAGTGCCTTCAACACTCACTCACTGGGTGAGTTATGAGTTTCAGATCAAATTAACACATCTTTCCCCAAACCTGCATTGTCAGACAAGTCAGACGTTTGATAGGTCACACCAACTTCATGAACTCTTCTAGTTTGTTTAGATATTACTACAATGGAAACCAAGAGAAACAACATCTTAATATTTCTGAGGGCAGTTGAAGTAATGTCTCAACTCACCTTCTCCTTTGCCTCCTATCTAGAAGCTACCCAGAGTTACGTGAAAATCTTCCTGGACATAGACAGGCTCCCCCAGCTCTACAATTACTACCACAAATGTCATAAGGTTAGTATTTGGCTTTTTACAAGGTCACAGGGTGCATGACCAAGCCACAGCTTGCCAAGCCTACTTATTGAGAAATAACAATCTTGAATTGAAGACACCAGAGAGTAAACGACTTCATCAATATCTGGTTGTAATTTCTGAGGGCCTTATGCACGAAGAACGTCCTCATTAGTGACTGATAAAAAGGCAGGGCTGACTGTCTGGTGCCTGTCTCCATCAGTATGCAGAGTTTGAATGTAGTGGTGGGGTGGGCAACATTCTACCAGTCTCCTGTGGAACTGCAAGTCTCGGTCAGCGAGATGCAAATTGGGTCAGCAATGGCAATGGCTCAGATGGAGATTATCATTGTCGCAGCTGGAGATGGCGTACTGACTTGCCATTGGCTAACAGATGAAGCCACTCTCCTCAAGCACGTGCCTTAGTGGTGGCTTCAGTCAAAATTCTCGGAGGGAGCCTTCAATTCAATCTGGATAAACTGGGGCGGTCATACCTCAAACCTTTCTGAATGACTTTAATACATAGTGTGCATTCTTGTTTTTCTACGGTAGACTTCCTTGTTACAACAGTGGCAGCACCTACAGGGAGAGAACCTGGACAAGCCCCTGACGGAATGGCTGCCCAACTTCTACGACACGCTACTCTCCACCTGGCACAAAGAGGTCGGTAGAGGTCAGGCAAGAGAAGTTGATGATTTTTTCATCATTTGCAGGTTTTACATCTACTGTGATTTCAAGATAAGAAAACGTTTGCTCACAAGTAACAGCTGGTGAACAATGGCAGAGGAATTCCTTCTTTATAATTTATTTGTAAAACTTGTTCTCAATTCAAAATGGTGACTCAGATTGACTTGCGATGACTTTTACAGCTTTGTCAACAAATTGGAGTTTTTCTGTTAGCCAGCCAAACCAACATACATGTATTAGTTCGTTGGCAATGGCCAATCCTGACATGCTACCAGCCCTTCAAAAGGTTTACTAACAGTTGACACTCGTTTCTCAATCGGAGTCAATAATTCTCATGCATTTTGTTGCACCTCGTTTAGATCAAGTGGTGCGAGCAGGTTTTCCCTGAGGCAGTGAGAGTCGTGAGTGAGTTACTAACCCAAACACTGACTGGACTCCAACCATCCCTCCCCGCCTGCATGGACACAGCCCTGCAAGACAACACGTTGCCCAACTTGCTGGAACTAAGACAGGTAATGATCAGTCGTTTCTTCCACTCCAACTTCCATCTATCAATATTGAACATTTTCCTGTTCACAAATTGAATGGCATATGTAGAAGTGATCAGAAACTTCAAGTGTTCAAAAAGCACCTGTGCTTTTCATGCCACATTCAAGTGATAGTTTCATTATTTTTCTTTATCAACGAAATTTGTTTTTCCAGATAGCAAACAGATTTACCAAGAACCTTGAGAGCGCAATTCAAGTATCAGTAGGTGGGAGGCAATTTCATGATTTTTTCTCTTCCCTTTTGTAATTATCACTCAGATATCTGTTCGTGGTGTGACGCACATCACACTGTTTTATAACTTACTGATCAAAACAACATGATTTTTGTGTCTTTTTTATGCCTTTTTACTTTGTAGTTTATTTTTACTGACGTGGCCCTTACTTTCAGCCATCAGGAAAAACCATTTTGAAAAATGTGAAATTTTAGGATATTATGCAGCTTTTTCTTTCTACCGTATTCAACCAGGCTCCCCATCTGGCCGGCATTTTGAGGATTTAGTGAATGCCATCCATGCCCCTTATGTTCCTTATCTTTTGCAATACGGTCGGCTTGAGAAGGAATACCTGCTGCAAGAACTGAGCTGCACCCAAATGGTATGTTGAAAATTGTCAGGAGCCTATGTGGTTTTCAGTTAGAAACATGCCATTGGACATCATGGTTGGGACTGCCACAGTTGTGAAACTTTTCAGTTGGATTTTGTCACGTACTTCATAGTTGTCTGAAAAGTAACGCTTATCACTGCTCCCTTAAAAATCGAGCCCCGAAATGATTGAAAGTTTGATCTATTTTTCTTTCCAGGAAAGACGAGACCTGATAGACTGTGCCCAGTTATTGTCTGACTCTGTTGGCAAACTATTCAAAAATGCTCATGAAGTGAGTTCATCAAACACGTAAATAACACTCTGTGTTTTAAAATTGGACAATTTTCAGAGTCCTGAAAAGATAGGTATGTAAATTTTTTGTTGGAAATTGCGGTCCATGTGGGCCAGTTTCAGAGTTTTTTGATCTGTTAAGAATTCTGAGATTGCACATCCCTGTAGGCAGTGGAGAGGTGTATGGGCTTGACTGATGGCTGCGGCATTGTTGGACTGCTAGATGCTTTGAAGGTGAGTAATGAAATCTGGAATTGGTGCCTGGTTTTTGGATATCTAGTCGTCAAAGTGTTTGAATTGGGTTCCAAGTACAGAGCTGTCGAAATGTAAAGCACAACTTCTGTTAAAGGACAATCTCTCTGTGTCCATAGGCAAGACACTTTGCCACAATCACTTTCCCAAACCAGAAGAGTTCCAGGCACATGTTATATTGAAGTGATGTGAGCTCAGCTGATCACAGTCAAAAGGTTTTTCTGTCACGGTTTTTATTTACCCTCCAGAGAGTTCTGATGATTCCAGGAATGCTTATAAGCATATCCGTCAGTGGTAACAATATTTCGTAAAGTACTGTGATTTTGTTTTTGTTTGTTAACTTACAGGCATTGTTCCAGAACTACTGTCAGAAGTTCCACTCTGCGCTCGACACGCTGCATGTGGTGGGCGGACTGGATAGCACAGCGCCCTCCCAGGCTGAACTGGGAGAGGACTGGAGCAAATTCCAGCATGCGCTCAAGATTATTCAGACATGCGGTACCGTTACGCAAGCAATGAAAATAAGATTAACATCAGCAGCTGATTGGCCAGTTTAAAATTGGTTGCCCTCGATAAATCAATTTTTTTCATTGTTGAAAGAGGTTCAGTAGACACGAAAGATACATCTGCTGGATTTGTCTGTTCAGATGAAAATAAGTATCAATCAATATGACGTTTATTTCCATATTGGTGATTATCAGGAAAAGCAAACCATAACAGTACAAATATATAAATGAACTTTATATATAAGTTTGGAAGGGAAAAAATTGGGTGATGTTCCATCAATTTAATTGAATTATTTTGGGGATTTTCTTTTTCGTTTTTGCAGGTGAACTCCTGCTTCAGAGTGAGGAGTTTGAGCTGCAGCTGATTGGCTCAATTTTGAATACAGCAACCAATCATGTCGCCGAGGCATTCTCACCAAGTAGGATTACCAACCTCAATCTCACGTAAGAAGAATGCCAACTAGACATGTCCATCTATCGTGTAGAACGTCCTTCTTAGTCGTATACTCACTTTCAACTTGTCACATTTTTTCAGTATCTGTTTAATCTAAGATATTTCCTTCCCATCTAGCCCACTTTCTGGTAATCCGTTCAAGGAGTATAACTACTTGGTTGTAGAGGATCCCGTACAGCATGCAGCGTTCGTGGATCTCGTCGTCAAACTCAAACAAGGTCAGAGAAGTCACCTAGTAAGAAAATATTGTAGGGCTTTGCCTTCCATGACCAAATGTCGAAGGGCCGTTGAGATTGGAACCGTTCTTAGCAAATACAGGGATAAGCAAGATCAGGTCAGAACCAGTCATGATCAGCGCACATCACCTCACATTAATTTTAGCGCTAATTGCTTGATAAATTTGCTTACCATTTTTAGAAAACTGGCTGCAGTTCTCCCACTGGAAGCTATTAAATATCTTTTCAGGAAGAAAATCAATAGCAGAAATTGGAATAAAACACACGCATGTACTGGGAAAATTGGTTCAGCTTTTGCTTCTTGTCAACAGATGAGGTGTCTCTAATGAAAGAGGTCACAGACAACATGCAGAAGGTCAACGAGCATGCTCACAAGTTCACGTTCAGCATTGTCTTCCATCAGTTGGAGGCCCAGCTGATGCAGATATCCAATATGGAGGTAAACAAGTCAGGATACAAGACTTAGAATGTGAACAAATTGCCTCATAATTGGCCAGTGGACCTAAGTTTTTCAGAAGAGCAAGGGAGATTTTATGGACAATAAAATGCTGGAGAGCTTATAGAGATTGAACTAAGTTCTTTCATTTACTGTGCATTGATCATTTCTCCAGGTTTGGACAGCAGAGGGTGGCATGCTAGCTGCCGAACTTCCAGAGTACAGTCTGTCTCCTCTGGAATACATCACCAAGGTAACAAAGTATTCAATTTTCACCTGTCCTGAGAAATATATTTCAGCTCCCAGGTTTTCCCCACATTTGGTAGATTATCCGAATTTTACCCCTGCTCATTCTTCATGCCAAAATTCTCTCACCTTCCAGATCGGGCAATATTTGATGACCCTTCCACAGCAACTGGAACCCTTTACGTCCCAGGAGCATCCCAGCCTAGAGAAGGCCCTGGAGACAGGCAAGCTACCCTTCCCTCCAGAAACAGGTAACAGAAGGAAGAATACATCATTCCGTATTACCCCTGGCCATCAGGCTTATAACGACTTTGGCGTTGAAGCCGCATATGCAAGACAAAGACAGTTCTCTGTCATGTAATCAGAAGAGGACGGCAAGCAAATTTGTTTGGTCCATTGCATTGATCAATCGTCCAATCAATCAATTCTTCTCACAGGCTCGGCCACACCAGATCACCTGGCCGATTATTGGCTGGGAGCCATTGCCCGGGGAACCATGCACACCTACGTGGAAGCCATCTTGAAGATCACAGAGCTCACACCGAACGCAACAAGGCAGCTGGCAACAGACATAAGTAAGGGTTGAAATCCTCACAAGTAACCTAAAACAGGAACAGCCCTCAAGATAGAAACACATCCAACAATCTTCCTGATCTTGGACAGACATTTCCCCCAAGCTGATATTTGTTGTATTTGAATCTGCTACTCACAAAAATATCTTTACTTTCAACTTGGACCGCTTGGACCTGGGCCCAATTTCACGGCGCTGCTTGCCACAGAATTCCGCGCTTACTGTCTCCATTCTGCGTTAACCGCGCAAGCAGAAAAATTCCCTCTTAAGCACAGAATTCTTAGTTGCAGGATGTATGCATGCGCACAAGCCAAAATTCCACGCTAACCTTTAAAATACTTTTGCCGCAAGCACAGAATTTTCTGCTATGGTAAGCGCCAATTTTTCACTTGCAGTAAGCAGCCCCTTGAAATTGGGCCCTGAACAAGACCTTCAACTGAGACCAAAATTTTGCAAGTCCGATGGACACCCTTTCATCTATTTTGACTCCTGAGACACCCACTAACTTCTTTTCTGTTTTGTTTCAGACTATCTGTGTAATGTATTGGATGCTTTGGGTATTCATGCATCTGAATCTCTGAGGAACATTGAGACTCTGTTGAAATTACCACTCTCACAGTGAGTATCGTCTTCACCCCTCATCCCAATTACGAATGAGCAGGGCCTTTTTACCCAATTGAGAATTTTTAATGCTGCCTATGTAGCGGGCTGTGTTATTTGGCACTCAAACCATTAAATAAGCAAAGTGGTTTGTTCAACTTTCAAAAATGTTTTTATTTCCAGGTACGGGGAGACAAGAGGGACGATGCCCGATCGGTTTGTTCACATCATTGGATCCATCAGGAGTGCGCATGAAACTTAGCCAGTGGCGGTTCGTCCAATCCTCAGTCTTCAAAGACACATTGCTCCTGATAGCTTTCTGGTTTGGAAGCAATGGAAAATAAAACGATTAATGCAGACATGCAGTACCGTGCCAAAAATCAGGAAGCAGATGTGCCACGGTTTACATGAAGCTGCGGGGTTTCTTTTTGGGGGGGGGTGTGGGCCCGGGGAATTTTTTGTTCGCTTTTGTTTTCTATCAGGATTAAGAAAAACAGGTGAAGTAACGTCAACCATTGGATCATTGTATTTTTTCCCTTCTAATTAATTTTTTGCACGAGAATTCGATTTACTGTAAATTGCTTTTTGTATATATCAGGCCTTACGATAACCGGAGACTAATGTACATAGTTTTTATTTCCTATTTTTAGATACGCTTTAGGCAACTTCCAATTTGTCAGTTGCGTGGGTAAAATATTTCGGTTGTCATACAACAGAGTAAGTCCATCCAAACTCAAAAACTTTTCTCATATTTTCACAAAGAAAAGGTCGACACTGAAGGCACAAACATAAGGAAACACACGAGAGACATTTATTGTATTTGTACAAAAATTAACAGCGATCATATACAACACTGACATACACATGTTCAATGCAATTAAATTTGGAAAATTTACTTTCAGACGAAATAAAAAAACCCAGACAGAAATAACCTTCCTGTTACTCGAAATCTCTGTCACAATTATTCGTGACAAAACCATAAAATCTTCTGCTTTGTGACAGAGTTAATGGAACCATTTTCCATTCAGCGCTAAATTGCAAGGAAATAAAAAGGTCCGTAAATTTCAGAACCGATTGCCGACACCATGACGACATGTACGTCTTATGCACTTCGTCCACAACAATTCCGTCTATCTACCTGCCAACCTTTTATCTTTTTAGCTCTTTTAACACCCGCTGGGATTTGATGGTGCGGAATCAAATTGTCACCGCGACGACTGACGATGAGTTTTTCCTGCGGGAAATTGCCGCAGTGAGGTTACATGGCAACTGATGACGTCTTGGTCCAGTCATTGTTGGCGTATCACAATCGTCGACGCCAGTTCATACACTTCACAAAGACAAGCCATTGTAAAAACGTATCGCCGCTTTTCGTCTTACTTCTTGAAACCAACTTTCTTCGACGTGTTCCTCGTCGACAGAGAGAACAGAATTTCACCAATGTACATGTATATCAAATTACACGACTCCTGTCAGAGCCGACTTCATCGTCAAGAGTTGGCTGGCTTGATTCGTAAATTTTCAGGTTTATCGATAACGGCGTTTAAAAGCACAGGTTTCCTGTTAATTATTACTTTAATATCAGTAATATTCACACTATCTTTCAGAAAATTTAACATGTGCGCTCTGTATTTAAATGAACGTCAGTTGACATTTTCCAAAGTGTAAATTTGGACTCGCCACAATCTACCTTTATCTTAGAAAGTCAATAAAGTTGATTGTATATTTCCCCGATAATTTTGTCTCGATATAATTTGCACTAATACAGTTACAATTTTTCCCAACACCACTTGGGTAAAAATTGCATATTACATATTTTCTTTTGTTAACACCAATAAATACACATACATGTATACTTATACAGTACTTGCTACATAGAGGGGAAATTATACACCGAATCGAAATAATTTTCTTTGAGTTGCACTTCTTGTCTAAATGTTGAAAACTAAAAGCAAAAACTGCGAACTACTTGACTATTTCTAATCCAAGACTAAACAGTTCCTCGTTACTTAACGGGAGACACGATGAAATTAATTCCGAGTATAATCACAATTGATTTCATTTCAAACTGACGTAAGTTCTGTCAGAGAGCACATCTGTACTCGACTCGGACAATTTTGTATCTTACTCGTGATTTTCTATGGAAGTTGTTTTGTATGCACCTGTAGATCAATATTTCATATCAGATTTTGTGCCCTTGTCATGTTTTTTCATTGTTCTCACCCTAATCAGTTACATTCTTTATAAAATGGCTTTGTAGGAGCAGATGTGGACATCTGCAATGCTTATCCGTAAAAACAAGACGGCCATTTCTGACAAATAAATAAACTGAAAAGTAGTCGCAACAAAACCAATTTATCTGTTGGCTTGTTCAGAAGGGATATTAAGAAATCAAAGGTCATGTTGAGGGATATGATTTAATTAGAAATGGAATGATTACGACAGAGGATTACAACTTTCAGCAAGATCAGCTTAAACCGGGGACTATATGCTAATCAATCTTCATCCTCTGACTTGTCATCCGGTAGATGATTGTATCTCCGGGATCGAGATACCAAAGAGCGTAGCTCACTGCATAGATGGCTAGAGCGAGGAGGATGCCCATCCATAAGACGATGTTAAAAATGACAGGGTAGGTCTCATCGTAGGGCGTGGCTTTGTTCCCAATCGTCTCCGACGGTGGGGGACTGGTCGCAACAGCCTGAAGATTATCAGATGAAAAAAAAAACTTTTGCATTTGAGATCGTGCAAACCAGATAAAATAGAGGGTTCTGGGCCAGAACGCAGCTAAGCCCTTACACTATGGCTATAAGTACATGCACATGGGAATACGCAGGCAAACTCCAGTCACTGTTCTTAATGTTGCGATGTACACGTTACAATACACGTTTTAACTCACTGAACACGGGCGTTTCACAACAGTGGGCCCCCAAGAGTTTGGAACGCACTGGCCAATCACAATGAGCTAAATCTGTCGACCCAATGCGCATTTGGGTCGGCAGATTTCGCGCATTGTGATTGGCCAACGCGTTGCAAACTCTTGGAGGCACACTATTGTGAATCGCCCGTATTTTTGGAGAGTCCTAAGCGGGCATGTCTGCTTAGTATCGACAGTCATGCTTAGCGGTAACAGGCTACTAACTAAAATTTGATTTGGTGCACATCTATGTCACTGATTCCTATAGTTTATTTTTGCTCGGCAACAAAATTTCCTGTGCAACTTTTTTTCAGGTTGGCAACTGCATGGAACTAAGCTCACGTCGAGATGTGTCACATGAAAAAATGCACAAGACGAATCAGGAATACAGAGGAGCAAATATAAATTCTGCTTAAAGTCATTTCACAAGGGGAGAAATCCAAGTCCTATGACAAATCATCCCTGGAGTCTTTGAGGCAATATTTTTGCTCTTACGAGTAGAGATCTGCTCTGTCTACTGACGAACGGTTCCTGATGTGGCGTCATCACTTCTATAAGCAAATCACCGTCATATAGGCTGGCCATTTCGCTGGAAAACTGAAGCACAGAGGGGAGAAACATGATCAAATATTAACAAATCGTTGGGGTTGTACTTCCTAAGGTTACTGTATTTCCCTAAAGACCATACATGACGCATACCGGGTGTGTATACGCATACCGGGAAATTGGGTAAGAAATGGGGTTAGAGGATTTTGAGCGACACTTAAGTAAATATCACTGCAAATATTATTTTGTTGCTACTGCAAGTTTGCTGTGCACCATAAACAGGTCCACTGGGAATGCCAAGGCGGTTAAGTTACGTGCAATCGTTTCATGAGATGTTATCCAATATGTGACACTGACCACTATAGCCGTCGAAGAAAATAGATTACAACAGCGCTTATACATGCTTGTCGCTTGAAAAAAAATAACACATTTCAAATTCTGCAGCTCAAATAAAATTGGAACAAGAATCGTTCCTCTTTAATTCCTTCCCCAATTTCAGGGCTATCCGGTAATAAAATCGTGCAAGCGTGTGACTGGACGGTGAAGAAAACATTCCGCGGTTGTCCTCAAAATGTCACAGGTTTTAATTTCAACTCGGCTGCCTCGAGCCGAGTTGAACGTTCCACACACAGCCAAATAACCAGTCTGCCAAGCTAACAACATCGATTCCGAAGAGCAGTCGATTACTGCACGGCAAAAAAATAGCCCCTGAGGATCGCTAGTACTTCAAAATAAACCGATTTTATCAATTTACAGCTTAAATGTATGATGGTAATCCGCACGGCGGAAACTCAAAATGATAAGCAAACTACTACAAGCTATGCGAAGGAATGTTCACAGAAATATCCAATAAATTTCTCTTCGGACCAAGGAGCGGAGCTGTTTTCACTTTCGTCAGTCTTCCCGCTGTTTATTTTATTAAAAAGTTAAAAGGCATAACCGCATCGTGACGATACTGACATACCATCATCCGGCACAATTCCGAGGTGCACTGTTGGGAGAACAGATATAATTAGGTAGCCGTGTATCGTGCGTGGCGGATTATTTCTCAGCGTACCCTCTTCAAGGCTCGTGTAGTACCACTAATTGTCTTTTCTGTTTAATGAAAAACTAATTAAGGTAATGCCGCTTGTGAAACAAGGGCCATGTACACGCTGGCAGTAATGGTAATTGTGGGAAAACACGTGCATAGTTGTTTAAACCATCGCGGTGCATGTCTGAAACTGGCTGCGGTACCGACTGGTCTTACTTTTGTGCTTTTCAATCAGTGAGTAATTGCGAATTTTATATACCAGGTAAGATATGGGACGGACGGGTACCTCCCTTACATGTCCAATCCCTATACACACTCTAGACTATGTTACCAAACACATCCCCCTAGAAGTCTGTAAAGAATTCCTAAGATTCCGATCAAACAATGACCAACACAAAGGCACGGGGGGGGGTTCTCTCCGTCCCATATCTCGCTTCAAATGGAATTTTACTTTCTATGAAGGCACCCTGTGAGAATAGCAGCGCTTTACGGGTTTCATCTTCGCGAAAGTATCACTTACACAGGTATTTATGACTCGATTCAAACGGTAGAAGCAATTTCATTGCAGATCGTCTTGAGAGAGGCTTCATGACAAATCTCATGAGTATCGAGCCATGCCAGGATGTCAAAATCGTATACGGGAACAACTGGTTATAGGCCTACGTGATAATTACCATCACACCTTTTGCAGTGAATAGACACGCAATGCAGTAGAAGGCTTGATGAACATGAGTATTGGTCTGTGTCTCTTGTAGGGGCACGAGGGGAGGGGCGGAGCTAAATGGTAACATGTATCCCTGAAGTTAATGCGTGGTGCTTTCCATGAGGTGAAATTTTGTTTCAGTCGGCAATTTTCTGGGACAGCGTCAATTCAGTGCATTTTAGCAGGCAAAATATGGCCAACTCATAACATCGACCTCCCTGTTTTGTTGTACATAATTAGAAATGTCTAGTCTATGAACAAATTCGACCAACTTCAGCACACTTGCCCTAGACGTAACGCTTGGTAGAGACAGATATATTCAATAATAATGCAAAATAATTACTAGGACATCCGTGAATGATTTCGTCGTAAATAGCTATTAAGACAAAATTCATAATCACTTCCATGTTAAATGGAAAGCAAAACTGCGACCTATTTGGTCGTGGACTTCAAATTACCCATCCTCAGAGAAGCTCTACATGCATTCCGAATTTCAATGGCATAAAAATGAGGAAAAAGTGCTAAAGCATTAGTGATTTATTTTCTAATTTTGACATCGATCGGTGACGTCAATGGTTCACCACGGCAACCGCACTGCCTGGTTACCGATGTGAGAATGTCTGATTTAGCGCTCAGAGGGAGATGACACGGCATTCCGGCAGGTTCACGTTGTGTGGATGCTACGTTGGGAATGAAAACACCATGAAGAACACATACATGTGTAACGACTTCAATGTCTTTGTTTAGCTGACGAGCGAAACCAACAGTAAATAAGAAGATGTTTGAGTCGCTTTTCAATTCGTTGATGTCTTAACGCCACATGAAATGTTAACGTCATATAAAATGTGTGAGCAGTTTCGACTTGCACTCGACATAAACAAGAAAATCACATTTAGAAATGAAAACAAACTTGTCATGCAGTGGAAACAAAGTCTGAGTTCGATCGATCAAAAAGAAAAGCAAAGCAATAAACGGGTAAAAATTCAAAAAAAGAAATGCAATGCAGTTGTCCCAGCTTTTAATTTTTAGCACAACACGGCAGGTGGATAAGTTACCTTACCCCTTTCTGGAAAGTCGGACAAAAAGCACCACAGCCTTTTACCATCCTCAAAATCCCCTGGAACACACATGAGCGCCTTAATTTCACAATGGGACTACACAAAGGTTTGCTTTTTTTGTATATTTACACACGTTTGGTTCAGCAAATTAGGAAAGGACGGCGCACTGAAGATGACATATGAGACTCGCATATAGCATCGATTGTGGTGTTTATTATTTCTGCGCAGTATATATTGATAAAATGCGTGACCGAGACATTACGGCAAAACGCGCCGAATTCTTGATAACGAGTTCGGGGGAAACGATCGGGCGACCGCCGGCAGGAGCGAAAACTGAGCACACAGAAGGAAAGGTTGGCTGAGTGGAAAAGAGAAAAAGACGTGCGTAGGGCAGACGTACGTATCCTGCATGCGCCTCGTCCAGAGCGAGAGGTCTCGCGTCGATTCACCTGCTCAAGAAAGTATCGTGATACGAAAGCATGGTCTTCACATGTACCGCGTTTCGCTCACGGCGCCTGGAGGTATCCCCTGTCAGGCCTATCATAACTGACTTTCGATAATAGAGCGTATCGTGGTCTGGAAATAACATTATATTGGAGTTCAGCGCCACGGCTGCTGATGACGTTCACAGACACCGGCAATCCAGCCAAGCATTTTATAATTCTTGGAACTATAAATAACTCTCGACAAGACCCTCGACCTTGAACATTACAGCACCACCATCAGGAGGTGCGTTTACGATATAACCCGAAAGCACAGATCGTCGTCACTCGGATTCTTGCCAAGACCTCCCAGCCAACCCTCCTTGACACGAAGGTTCCCATTTGACAAGATCATACTTTTCTATACATCGGTGTTCCTATGTCAATAACCAGAAATCCTCTAAGTTTTATAACATTACTGGGTAGCATTTACTGCCCAAACGACATTGAAACTTTTCTTACACTTTGCAGATAAGAAAACCTTTATAATTCTAAAGAAACGATGTTCATTCTTTATTAAAAACCTGTCTGCAGAAATTACACTGCTCACCTTTAGTAAAAGCTGTACAGGCGAACAATCAAAGTGACCAATATCATTAAAACAGTTCGTGAGATCGAGGGAACACAACTCAACTTCTAATGGTAAAACTTCGACAAGACAGAGTACCAAACCGCACATAACTACATTTTTGCGCCGTGGGCTGTCTGCGACCAAAGATGGCGTCGCCACGTGTCACCGAATGACAGATTCATTTTCCAGTTGTATCAATTCCTGCTGGTCGCATTTCGAAGTTGAGGAGAAAAAATGGTTTGTGCTTCTCCCCAAAGACAGGGTTAGGGACAGGAAGACTCGAGTCACGAGCTCGACTAAGGCAGACGAGAGGGCCTACGTGACTGGATATAGGGCGCGAGATATGATATCTGTTGATGACTTGTATTAGGTCACCGGGGTCATACAATACTCGAATATCCAGCATAAAGATAGAAACGGGTAGAAAGCAGCCGGGTTGGACCACCATGCGAAGACAGTTAACTCATTTTCGAGGCATATGGGCCGATAAGGGAGACAGGCTTCCTAGAAACTGAGGACTATGATGGGGGTTTAGAAATGTCAAGATTCGGATATGAACGCGAGTGAAGTCTTGCAGAGTTCCGGACCTTGTTCATGTATGATAGTACTTTTTTACGCCTTACGAGCTACTGTTACCCAGAATGTTTACAGCGAACATAAAATGTGGATAACTAATGTCATTGATCTTTGGACTTAAGGTAGAGTATCTTCATCATCTTATTGTGTATAGTCCAGAGAAACTACACTTGAATTGCTCCAGAAAAACATTTAGCGACGGGGTTTGTCCACACATTGAATCTGATGCTGATTGGATAGGCAGATGGTGTGAAAAGGTTGCAGTCGTTTGTTGGAGTTGTAAAAGCTTCGACAGAAATCCAAGTACCTCTTAGTTGCAAACAAGAGAACCAATTGCATAATCAGACTACTATATAAAGCCAAGTTTAACTCGTGAATTTGACACACGACATTCAAAGCACTTCTACGAATATCTACCAGCAATATCAAGATGTTTTCTCCTCGGACTTACATTAAAATTAAAAGAATGTAGTCTCTACTTCTAGAATGTTCTTGAACAGGTTGCGGAAAGAAGCTGTCTCATGAGGACATTTACCAGTGTAGTATAAAACCCAAATGCCAACCTTTACCCCTGCCATTTCTTAAGAATCACCAAGAGCCCCAGGAGGCTTTTGCATGATTAACTGTTGATGGAGTTTGCCTCTAGACGACGAAAACCTGAATACATTAGAATCCGTTTGCTTTGGGCTGAAAGCAAGCCAAGCCACGTTGTATTGACACCCCTTGAAGTTGCTTCGATCGTGTCACGGTGTTCCTGCAAGATGGTGGGCTCGACTGACTTGAGGACGGATGCTATATAGCAAAAATGGAGATGGAACGGTAATTGAAGGAGAACTGACCTTTGAGATGAAGGACGATACCATCCTGGCTGCGTCTTGGGCCTGGGTGGAGTCTGCTCCGTACTTGCTCTGAATGACTGACAGGCCAGCCAGGGTGAAGGTAAATAGGTCCGGGATGTTATCTGTGACTACTGTTGGGTCCTCTCGAAGCTGTTTGAGAACAAAATGAAAATCGAAGTCAACGATAGAAATCAAGTTGTCTGAATTCCCAACTTTGCCATAGGATGTGCCGTTTCAATAGGTCTCTCACCATCAGCTTTGAATAACTACATTATTCAAAGCTCCAGGTTTCCCTTCATGTAATTTTATGGCTTCAAAACAATATTCATGTTGGGAATTATCGAACACACTGAAGCCAATTTAAACGGTAATCTTCATCGTGGTATTCCACAGCCAATCGACCCTGAGGAATTGATGATATTACGGCACCGACCTGCTTGATTTTCTACGAGAGCTTTATTTCTCACAAAATATTCACTTCTGGCTCAAACGAGCACTGGTCGGAAAAGCATTATCCACCATCAAGTGATGCACGTTTCACACGCTCTCTCCCAGGGAAATGACGTTTTACTGCAGTACGCACCCTGCCGGTGACCTCCCTGAGGAATTGCAGTTCGCTTAGCAGAGCCACGTCGGCCGGGTTGGTCAGGTTAAGGGAACCCAGTCTACTGTCGGCGACGATTGAACCATCTCCTTTTAGAAGCGGAAGTACCTCGTTCAGCGTGTCTGGTAGAGTCTTGAAGACACTCTGGTACTCAGCCGACACGTGGAAACCCTGCAAGAAGAGATTTCGACACAATCAGAGCACGGCGGGATGAACATGCTCAGCATACCTGGAGGATTCTCCAGAATATTCCTATACAAAGAACATTCTATACAAAGAACATTCCGATACAAAGAACATTCCTATACAAAGAACATTCCGATACAAAGAATATTCCTATACAAAGAACATTCCTATACAAAGAACATTTCTATACGTGGTTTTTAAATATAATTTTAATTGTAGTTTTATATAATTGATATTGTATAGTCATATTATTTTCGCTATTTTGATAGGCCTATGTACAGCAAAATTGAATATTGTTAATCGAAAAGGCGCTTAAGAAATGAAACAAATTTAAATATTATACTCGGCCTCAGGTAATTTTGTTCCGCATTCGAACCTTCCACCCTCAAGGTTCTACATAAGACTGAACATAAATCCATCCACAAACAGAGTTCAATCATAAAGATCAAGACTTATTAATAATTTCAACATATTTTTTTTCTGCTCTTAGTATTCCTACTCTACTAGATTAAACTCAATCAACTTGATTCACTGATTTGTCATTTATAAAAGATCATTCGAGGAAGGTTTAAACCAACTACATGAATATGAAAGCTCTGCGCTGAGTCGGCAAGAAAACTGTTGACAAGTTTCTTGTTTATCCATCAGATACTTAAAACATTCGAATTGTTGCTGCACTTTGGCATATTAGCAATCTAATCATCGCTTAATAGACAACCTCTCAATTTATGATCCAACCACCTAGCTATCCTGATAAAGATGCAAAACCGCCTCCACTGGAGAGGAAATCCAGCATCTTGAAGCTCGAGGGAGTAACTCCAGAGAGGCCTTTGCGACACCTGGGGAACGTTTGACGTCATGATTACGTAGCTGACCTTAATGTCTGGCGTGAGTTCAAGAAGTAACGGTCGATCTCCGTACATCGATGTAATTGTGTCTACTATCGTCCGCAAGTCTACCGCTCCACTCTAGAGATAAAAACAAAAGTATCAGCTGACGGTTATGCCATAAAAATTACCGTACGAGTTTATAAGCGTACTCACAACACGTGTAAATGGAGAACTCGTGTCGTGTTGTTTAATGAGTCCAATTTATAACAAGATAAACACAAAACGAATTAAAATGATCCAATCTGCTTTCAGGTCGCGAGTTTTTATTGCAAACGTGGTCTGACATGCAACAACACTCGATAATAATTTCGCCAATTAATGATGGTGATAAAAACAATATTCTTCGCTCTACGCTCTGTGGTTTCGTATTGAACATGAACCCCCAAACTTGTTCGTCTACAAAAGCCGGCGTCAATACTGGTTGAAATCTCGGACAGAAATAAAACAAGCTGACTTACTCCGCGCACGGGATATTGCAGGCGGGTGCTACTTCCCGATTCAAGAGAGAAGGAATTATCTTCGGTCTCTATGGTGATTAAGATGTTGGCTTTGGGCCGACGAAACAAATCTCCAACGGCTAATCCAGCCCATTTTACCGCCTGAAACAAAAAACATTATCCTTCATCCCACTTAAAAAACAAAGAGAAGCAAGCTGTCATGCAGTTTGCCAACATCAGTATAGAACACGCACACAAAAAAAATCAATTTTAGTGAAAATCGACATCAAGTGCTATTCCGTGAGGTCTTTCAGAGCAGCAAAAGTACAATAGCATCAAACGCAAACCTCTCATTCCTTGAAAATATACGATCGATAGTCAAGCGTTTTTTTAATATTTCGAAGCCAAAACTTCCAACTTACTTTTGAACTTGACAAACCCAATGCAAGAGACAAGACATCCGGGACTTCCGTGACGTCAATCGGCCCAGCGTCTCTCTGGAATTCCACATAGCTGGGTGAGTGTGCGATGAACAACGTATCCTCGCAGTTAACTGCAGGAAAATGTTGTAAAGCGTCTTAACGAGATGTCAGTTTACAACGGAATCTACACAAAAAGGAACATACGATCGGACGCCACTTTTCTTTTCACTGAACGTTTGTCAAAAAACACGCATTGGCTACATGCATGCAGCGGGAAAAATCAGCCAAAATATTCAGAAAAGGCCGTGTCAAAGTGCCCGACAAATCAATTTCCCGATCACATATTATGACAGTTTCAAGGCTTCACTCCTCAACGTGAAGCACGCAGATCATTTTCGTCTATGTTAATCTCCAGGCGAATTGCCAAACGGAAAGACCACTTATGGTCATTGAAGTGCACCGGATCATGATCGGCCATGTACATAGGGAATCTTAACGAAGCCACCATTAACTGTTGGTTTATTCGAGAGAATCATAGCAGCGAGAGAATCTTATTCTGGACACTAGCGTCTGCGACGACCTGCGCAAATCCTATCCATGAGAACCACTCACAGACATGAACAACCGTTCCAGAAAAACCTGATAACATACGATGCCTTAGGCCAAAGTGGCCAGAGCGGGCCCGCAGGTGGCTGGAGTGTAAAAAGGTCCGACATGCAGGCTGTCACAATAGTACAGCACGTTGACCATTCCGCACATTTAGCATTTTTTTCAACGTATTTTTTTCGTCGGAGAGCTGAAATGGTCATAACAACTCACATGTGTTTGGACAACTGCCAATTAGGCACTTAAATCGTCTTATAACTCAGCCGGGGTACGAGGCGAATGCCTCCGTCGCTTCGGGGGTTATACTGTTTTTGACCTGCATTTTGGCGAACACAGCCCTCAGTGGAGCAACAAAAATGCGCACAAAATGTTTTTCAGCGATTTTCTCCTGAAATCATTCGGGGAATATTTTCATCTCCTGGGTTTAACATCAAACAAACAGGTCGCTTATTTTTGTGATTGCCACGTTCTCGAAAATCGTCTACGTGACAAAACCTTCAACATTGTAACTGTAGATGTATTTTTGGAAACGATTTTATTTCATATATATTCTCTTCTAGACCTACCACAGTTTCAGATGTGCGGCTTATAAAATAAATCCAACGCATAAGTATACATCATGGCGCATATTTTTATTCCGTCAACTTAATGAAATAACGAGATGCGGAGTCGATTTCGAAACATTAACATTCCAGCACCTGATTCACAATGCAAGCTTCTTGGTAATTTGTCAACCTATAATCATGTAGACCTAATGGTAGAAATCTGATACAGGTTCGCGATGACTGATCTAGAACGGAAACAAGCATCAGAGCCAGAAATACACACATACAAGCGACGCCATCCCGCGTGCCTAAAGTGATGGGTCAATCAAATGGCAGGTTTTTGTTCTATTTTACAAGCGCATGTCTACGGGATGTGTGTCAAATACAACATCCGGTGGGGATATTTCGTTTGGCTCACGCAACGCGGTTCACAAAGAGGGGAAAAGTGCAAAAACAGATTTCCAATCTGACTTCGGAGAAGAAAAACTTTGCCACTCCCCTTCTTCAAAATTAAAAGTCCCATTCTTTTCATTTCGAAGAAGAGAAATCAAAACCTGTTTATATTGTTCTAAATAAAACAAATATCTGGAAAAAATTATTATAACCGAAGCAGATTTTATAAAACTTCTCATCAGGATAAATTTGCAATTTCAATCGTTTTGACCTGCATGAAGGTTTTCTTTATTATAATATAGATCACTTCAATTAAAAATTTTCCCAAATACAGTGTACTTCGATCCAAATTTTGCTGATTCGAATCGTCCATTAGTCACTTACAAAATCCCTCGCACTTCACTCGAAAACAGGAACATTTCAGAGACTGGACTCATACGACAAATTTTTTAAAGGTTCTGATGACGTCTCTGAGAGATCGCGTAAGATCGCGATGTTTCAATAATGAAAATGAAACGAAATTTTAAGTCATTCAACGGCGAGGTCCCTCGCTACGAGCATTCCTCAAACACGTTATAACTATACTTTTTCTTTTGAAAAACTAGCACCCTATCTTCTTTCCACGCGTCGAAGTGTTACAACTCAAAAAGGGGCAGTCTTCTTTGAGAACTGCAATAAAGTTACATGTACACAGAGCGCATATAAACAAAATGAAAATTCGTTAATAACACGAGATGAGGTCTCGTCTACAAACTCCAATATTCAATAGTAAATGCCTTCGATGGATGTACCCAAACTGAAAATTATGCACAGCACAAAGGCTGACATTTACTGAATATTTCTCTCAGGTAGAATGCTTCAGCTTACACTGGTAAATCAATAACTTTCATCAAATTATTCGAATTGTTTGTAGAGACTTTGTGATTTCATTGTACTCTGACAAGGAACATTAAATTGTAAAAATATAAAAAATAGGGATAAACCAGGATTCCACATACTGTGCTTGATATCATCAGCCATGCAGTCAAAATAATTTTACCAACAATTCGCCAAAATGTAAATATTAAAGTTCCAGTTTCAATAATCAATTTCAGCGAATTTCTTAATTATTGCTGCATTATTTTCACATACAGGGTGTCCCCCAACCCCAATACAAGAAGCAACAGCAAAGTAATATCTATCTTCTACTGTCAGAAATGGTGATTTGGGGAATTAAATTAAAGCTTATGGTGATTTCTACTTAAACTTAAAACTTAAGTTGAAGTAAAGGCTGCGCTGCGGAGATATTTTTTAGTTGAATAACAGTGTTTGTTGTGCTTAATGTAAACTTTCTTGCAAGTGTATGCAATCACTAAATCCAAATCCTAAATTATCGCACAACTGTTTGGGTTCTTCACTTTTTCGAACTTTCTTTTCAGTCCTTACAATGATCAAACTGATTTTTACTTGAGAAGGTCATGGTTGTTTTATTCATTATGCTGTTGTCGGTTGATGAGTTTGCCTCAGAGAAAACAACTCCAGTTAATTTGTAAGAAGGCGATGATCTGAATTTATTCGGCATAATTAACCACTTTGAACCATTTCAAGATGTTGCCTGTTTGTTGGTGAAAACGAAAGGGGTATTTGGAATCTTGTTCAGATCAGTATCCTACTTCTGTAGGTCTTTCCAATGATATCATGTGTTAAACAGGAGGTTAAATGGCGTAACAGAATTCTGATTGGAAAGAACACAAAAGCAGTTGTCTAGCAGTATCTCCACACCGCATCATCGGATCTAAATGAAGTCTTTCATTTTGAAAAAAAATCTAAGCTTGAATTGGACACTAAAACAGCATTCTTTGACAATTTTTATCTTAGGAGAAAACAAATGATACTTTTAGGGGATGCCATTTTTGTGGGGAGTCACCCTATACACATTTAAAGTGTACACATTGATATGTGCAAGCAAGGCGTTTTCCAGAGCATTAAAAGGTTGTGATCTACTTTTTTCATCCCTTCCATTCTAAACTTACCTAAATTATTAAAATCAACGACTTGGCTGCCAAGAACACAAAGCCACTCAAGCAAATTGTCCTCTGTGCTATTTCCAACCAGGTAATCAGATAAAATAAGGGCATCAACTTCATTTAGAAATCAACCCCTTGAAGTTTCAGTGACAACAAATGAGCCTATTCTCTGACAAAAAAAAATCATCTAACCCATCTGCATACATGTGCCATCCGATTTCAAATCATTCCTATGCAGACATGGGGATTGAATTCCTGGCCCCTACCTGTAACGCTTTATATGTATTCAAAGAGTTTACCGGTCTGAAGTCTTCAATGAAATGACCCAAACTCAAAAAATGTCTTGAAAGGCCATCAAATCTAACAACCAGTGGCTTAGCGAGGGGGGGTCAGTTGGCAAATAAAGGGTCAGTCGGCAAATGAAACTGAAATTGACATCATGAATTATTGATGTACATCGACCAGTCAGCAAATTGACCCTGGCACACACACCCCCAAGAAAATGCCTTCGCTACGCCGCTGCTAACAACAGCCCAACAGTTTAGTGGATGTGTTCCGACCCCAATTTTAAAAATCTATAGAAACACAGTGAAGGCCATGTACCAAAACGCCCCCTTCACCCCCTTGAGCCCATTCTAGGAAACATCCATCTCAGCACAAACTGTTTCAGACAATGTCTGATTCAAAACTGCCCAGACGGTGTTGGAAGAACTGAAATAGAGAGGAAAAAAGATTTTGGCATAGGACTGCACAACACCTGAGGCACTAAGATGATGGCGACAAAACTGTGAAATGCACTTTGGCAACAAATCACGGCCGGAATGTGTGAAATGCTGGAAAAAAATGATGACAATCTGTGAAAATGTGCAGTAGTACGTAGTTTGCTTGCCTAATACTAATAACAGCAACGTGGCTCTTGTTTTATTTAAATTATTATTATTACATATCATGAATATACAAGTAAGTACATACAAATCCCTATTCACAAAAAGTCACTATTCTTCAGTGAACCTGCTCTCCAGCACAACCAAAAATCGCACTCTTGGTCTGTTTGGAGAGAGCCTCTTGCATCAATCATGGACAGCAGCAGTACATACTGTACATGTACATGTACAGTACATGTACTTTACATACGTGTACATGTACAAAGGCCTGTGTAACTATATAGGGCCTAATACATGTGCATACAAAAACACGTAAAAATTTTACCGACATTTTAACAGTCAAAATACTGAGTGATAAAACGGAAAACAGCCAGTCAAACGGAGACACTATGAAGTTTCATCCATGATAAACGATAAATGGAAGGAATCAAGTGTCTATACCCACCGAATGTGCAAAAACAAGCACAAATTGAGAGGAGAATAATACTCAATAGTGCGGCAGCCATCTTGTCATGGGACTAGTCACGTGACAGATAGGAGAGGATCGCCCTCACGTTTTACACGGCAGCTCTTTCCGCGATCGATCGTTCAGCACCCGAACTCCGCACTCTTTTTCGGGCAAACAGACCCCTCATTTGGTGTAATTCTTTCAGATACTGGTTGCTTGATGATCAAGCTTCAGCTGACTAAGTGAAGCCCGGTCTAGAATTCTGTCAAAGTTTTATCTGGACACCCGGAAACTCGACTCGTGGTGGTAGTTGTGTAATGACGTCACCTCGGAGGCCATTGAATTGTATTAAGCCTTATACAACGTGTGCAGTCTGCTTTTGTATGATACGCTATTGCCGATATTAAAAACGATCGTTCGGTTTCGCAGTGACGGGTCTTGCTAAAAACCGAAAAATAGGGCACAGATGGTTAGGAACCGATGAAACTTCGCCCTCGGTTTCATATTGTGAAACCATGACATCTTATGTTCCCAAGGAGACGCAGGGTAGCCTGCTTGGGCCTCAGGCTACCGCAGGGAGGGCCAACCATTCCACCAGGGATGTCTCACCGGGTCCCGACACTATCTCGACGTAAGTTGACCGAATACCTCCCCGATTTGTTATTAACCGTGTTGGACGCTGACGATGTTTCGTTGTTCAGCCCAAATCAATTCTGTTAAAATGTTTCAGAGTGCATGCTGCCAAGAGCTTACCTGCCGGCGGAAAACGCAAATTAATTAGCCCACCTAGTGACTCAAAATAAGTTCATTTCGATTCCTATCAACAGTTTCGTTTTGATTTCAGACCTACGGACCTTTCGAGTGCCGGATGCGGAGAAACCAACTCGATGGTTGTTCTATCACCATCTGGCGATATGAGTTTGCCCAAGAAAGAGCCGAATGAAGAGGGAAAACTACCCGGAACCGATTCTAAATGTCACGATGAGGTGTGTTTATAAAGAATTGAATTTCATTCATTTCTTCATTAGGCCTTTCAGTTTGTTGGTTTTTGGGCCTATGCTCATCCAGAAATAGTTCAAGGCTGTGGAAAATTAGGATTAAGTAGGCCTATGCGGTGCTTGAATCGGGCCATAATGTCTCATATACGCCCCTTGCGGAACTAGTCTGCATTGTCATGGCGTGGGAGGGATTCGGGCTGTGCAGTCGGACCCAAGGTGAAACGGTGAAGGTTGTTCATTTCGGATTTGGCTTTATCGTGTCCTGACTCCTGGCAATGTTCTGTGAATCCAGTTCGCAGCGTTACCGTCGGCAACGCTACTTTTTGGACATCGTAGCTCGTACGAATTGTGTAGGCCCAAGGCCTACGCTACGACTGAGGCGTGATAATTTTTCCTTGTGACCTTGATCAATCCTTAGGAAGTTAATTTAACAGAACGCGACTCTCTGTTGTTACTTGTTTTCTTTTACTTTCATATCCAGGTGCATTTAGATCCTTAAAATAAAAAAAACCCATTTTTATTGGATTTCACCTTGAAGAAGCCTACCCTCACTAACCTAACCGGAATGACAAGGATATGCATGTATCGAGACGAGATCGTTTCATCATTTTAAGTAGTGGCCTTAAGTACGTGTGTGTAGACAGTCACAATAGTCACACACCATCTCAACACCCCTACATTTTCAAACCCCGCCCTTTTGCCCACAATTACTCGGCCTGCATCCATCCATCAAAATCCTTTCACACCAAACATTCAAATCCCACTAATATAATAAGACCATAAATGAAAACATTAGACCGTGACGGTCCCAAACCCTTGGCTTCACACCTTTCGTTCCCTAGGATCAGTTTCACCCATCTAATTTCAAGCCAATCAAGTTTCCACCTTATCCCCCCCCCCATATGCGACCCATTTATAAATACCGACACTGAAATATGAGAAACTTGCGAAATCCATCAGGGTGACCTACATGTACCCGAGGCCCATAAACCCCAAGAACATGATGCACAATGTTGCTAACATAATCCCCCAGCAGTCACTCGAAATACCAGCCCGTCCACACGCCCCCAACGCAAGTCATCGTCTTAATCCCTTTTTACTTAGCCGTTTTTTACAAGCCAACTCTGCCGTTCCATTTCTCATTTTGACCCTCAGGACGTGAGGTGCCCAAGGCTACTTCGCTTTGAAGGCTAATCGCTTGACATTGATCTTTTTGCAAAGTCAATGTTTCTCCCTTGCGTGTTTCTTTGAATTTCGCAGTTTTATAGTTTGCCATAGGCCTACCTCGTCGATCTTCAAATAGTTTTTTATCTCTAAAATTAGGAATTCGTCTCACGTTATCTTGATGTTACTTCAACTTTGTTCAGAAGATCTGTAAAAAACTTGTTTCATGTGCCGTGAATGCTCGCAATCGTGTTCCATCTGCTTTCACTGCGCGATCGTTATACACATCCTGGAAGGATTCGTCACACAGTAACCGCGTCGTTGTGCGGTTTACTCGTCTCGATACGTGGTGCAGTTAAGCCTTCTTTGTTGTGTTATAACACGCATATTTTAGACTGGTTAGCAGTCCTTTGTGTTGAAGCGCAGCCATGCATGAAAACCCCAACCATAGCACCGTTGTGCAGCGTCCCGCTTACCAGGTCACTGGGCGGCATCATGGAATTGTTTTACTATAATGTACATGTACATGTATATGTATATCATTAGACTCTCTAGTGTGACCTCAACAGTGGACTCGTCGTCAGTGGCGTAACTATGTCCGGGGGGCATCCGGGGGTGCACACATTTTTTTCAAGGGGGCACCACAAGACAATGAGCTGTAGCAGAGCATAGAACTAGGAGCAGAGGTTGTTCATAGATTTCAAATGGGGGGTGGGCATCCGGGGGACACGGGTTTTCGCTGGGGGATGTACCCCCCCCCTCCGTAGTTACGCCACTGTTCGTAGTACCTTTATTCTCACTGTGAACTGACTCTGAATTGTGTGGGTACCCACAACAGCCCTCACTCGCCTCTCACGGCAAAGTGCATTGGTTATCTGCAAGAATCCAGGTCAACATACATAGTACATGCGTGATGGGCCTAATGTACTGGTCAAGGTTCTGCAGGCTATCGTTACCATCTTTTGCCCAGTCAACAATCCATTAGCGTAGTTTATAAAGCGTGAATTATCTATTTGTGTCGGCGCAGCATATACACACACATGCCCCTTGTTTCTTTTCACCCGCATCAGCAATTTCAGATTGATTCCTTTTTTCATCCACCGCGAAATAAATTGCTCCGATTCCGAAAGCATGTACGGGTGACAAACGGCTGGGCGCCCATTGATATAAGTGATCAGCGTCGACAGTGCGCACGCTACCAGAACAGGAATAGGCCTAGTGAGCTGACCGTGGTCTTCGCCCTATGCACTGATGACAGGAATATATACGCTTTTTGTGCATGTTCGGGGATATAAATCTGTCTGTTGTGACACGACCCTGCTAATACAACAACGTTTAATAATTAATTATATACGCCTTAAAAACCCGCAGCAAGCTGTCCGTGGCGTGCAGAAATTCAGCTATGATTTAAATCCATTGGATTGTGGTGTTGATAGAAAAAACCATGACCTTATTCCCCCGTGCGATGACATGCGTGCCACGTACAACCTTACATTTGTTAAAATGTGAGTACTTAATTAACATTAGTAATTACTCACGTCCAAGCCATTTGGACGGATACTGTTTTTATCACACATTATCAAAAATTTTGATGCCATAATGATGCCTGCACACGGCGTTGGTTGAAGTCTCAAGATACCAATTGTCGAGTTCCACTTTTGAAAGGTTAATCATAAATATTGTAAAATTGCCATTATAGTCGTACTTTCGTCGAACCTACTTTCGTGGGGACCATTCAGTTTATAATCCCACGCCCGACCGCCAACCATTACAGCGTTTCCCTCCTAATCTAAAACGACAATTACCGGGTTTACAGTGAATAATTTGAGACATTTTCAAAAATGAATGGTACGACTTGCGTTTGCGCTGTATGTCTTTTGTTCAGTTTTCTGCCACCACTCCTTCTAATGCCGTCTTTATCCATCCTACCCCACATCCCACAGTTATGGAACATCCTTGATAATGGCGCAGCGAGTTCTTCATTTTTTTTACCCGTTACACAACATGCCCAAAATTTGGTATCCAGAGATCGTAGATGTTGATTACTGGCGAGAAAAGATAAAAGCTCTCAATCATATATCATTTTGTGGACGAAGAGAGAAAGCTTAAGTCCAGATGTGTCTAGTCGAGATTGTTTCCATTAAATCATCTGCATCATGGCTGGAGGTTGACAGTGGTTAGGGTTTAATATTTTGAGGTTAGTGACCCGTTTTGGTCTCATAAAAGGCCACCATGACATGCCTCAATATGTAGTGAAAAAGAAAGGCTGTCAAAGAAATCTTGGCGAGACGGTTTCCATACTCAGTTCGAATCTGAACAGACCTGAAATGTCATAACGGGGGGAACCCTTAAGAAGGTACATCACTAGGGATTCTTTTAGACATTTTGGGATACATGCAAAAAGATCTAGAGGCAGCAGTCAGTACTGTCCATTGGGTTTAATTTTGAGTATTTTGTATCCCCCTTCCCGTCGGGGTATACACCACGCCCACCTTTATAAGCAAAGTTGTTGAACGGTACAAGGGCGCGGCGCTGTGTACCTGTATAACACTTTGCGCCCTTTTTTAAATCGGCCGAAATGGGCGTGTCTTAACCTACTTAGCGTGTGCCTGTGGGGTTACTTCATCATTATGTGAAAAGTTGTGGGAAACAGTTTTCATCTCGCTTCTGTTCTTCTTATAAAAGGCTCTCGGCGAGATTCTTTCGCGTTATTTCAGCGGCCGTTCGTTTTGATGCAAATGCACCGAATTTGGTACGGTAAGTTCCCTTGAAGATTTACGGTTCGTGATTTGTTTGCTTACTTATTGTTCGGGTCCGCAGAGTAGGTGAGATACGTGTCTTTCTTTCCGCACGCCCGGAGAATGGCGGCTTCGATATGGTTTCTGACAGAGCCTTGGTAACTTGGTATACAGACAATTCCTGCAG